CCAGAGAGAGAGAGAGAGAGATGAAGTCAGCTATGCCTCTTTTATTTCCTTTCTAATTTGAACAGACTCATTACATATTTTCCTTCTTCTGCTTCTTCAGATATTCTTCGTCAATTATCGTCATATTACGACCCATAGTTGCTGGAATACATGCCCCAGTATCATTGATTTCGAAATTCTTGAACAATCTCTTGGCACCAATATATTTGAAAGCAGCTCATGAAACAACGTTTACAAACAGTATTTATCTGATAAGAAGATTAGAAAACTATGAAAGAAATGGCTTTCTCAAACCAACGACCAAATTCATTACAATGGATGTTGAAAACATGTATACCATGATACCACGACAAGGTGCGCTAGACGCATTAATGCGATTCTTAGAGAAACATTCTAAATATCACAAAATTGGCCCGTTTAATATAAATTGTATTATGAAGATGGCTCGTCTGATCTTAGACAACAACTACTTCGCTTATAAAAATAAATATTACCGACAAGTTCGTGGTGGAGCCATGGGTTCCGCATTTACACAAGTCTTAGCCAATATCTATATGTTAGAATGGGAAGAAGATTTAATTTATCATCAAACGTCCCATTATGAAATCTATGGAAGGTAGGTTTGACGTGATGCACAAAAATGAACTTTGATTCAGTGATCGCTCCCTTGAATAGGTATATGGATGATGGTTTCATGACAACAAATCAGACTATCGAAGAAATCACTACTCTACTTGAGACAGCCCAAAATAAAGATATCAATATAAAAATTCAGTCTATTATTAGTACTACTGTTAATTTCCTCGATGTTACTATAACGAATGAAAACGGACGACTCAGAACCACTATTTTTCATAAATCAACTGCCGAGCCATATTATTTGTCATATACATCAGATCATCCACATCAAATTCATCGCAACATACCATACAGTGCTTTACTACGAGCTGCACGTCTCTGTTCAAACGTTCATGATTTCAATCGAGAGCGACTCCGGACAGATATAGCACTATTATTGAACAACTATCCTCGCAAATTCATCACTAATCAATTTCTGCGATTCTTCCAAGTGAATCATGCAGAGATTGTATTGACACTTCTAGATCAACACGAATATCAACGATTACACAAGAAACTACTTTATCAACCTACCAAACAAGATATTAAATTCGAAGAATCCAAAAGAAAAAACTTTGCTCTCTACCCACCAGTATTACATCAACCAGCATCCAATCCCAGAGAAAGATATGCATCCTATACATATCAAAGTGGACCGAGCCAAAAATTTCCTAAAGAATTCTACTGTTGGTGGAACATTCATTATCAATATCCCGGCTCACCAGCTAACAAGATACAACTGCGTCTGTCAGCAACGACGAATTCTAACCTTCGGACTCTCTTGATACGAAAGAAGCCATCCCGAAACGTCTTAACCCGTATTGAAACTACCAACATCTAACTGATAACCAAACAACATGAACAAGCTATCTCCATCAAGCGACTTCAGATCTGCTGACTTGTAAAAAACATTTTCCAATAAAAAGCTACGCAGCACAAAAAGCTTTTCTCACTCCTTTCGTTCAAAAGTAACTTAACACACAACCTCCCTATCGTATCGATAAACATCTTGGACCAAAATCGATTGAGTAACCCAGCACCACCACAGCCTTTTGAGATATTCCCCCTACCGAGAAAAAAAAGAGCACTTTCGAGATTACCCTACCAAAAACCAATTCAGACGCCAGATTTTCTACACTGCGTTCATCGCAGGTGTCAAAACGTCGTGTGATGCTTTCAACCTCTGATGCCTTTGAATATCTTTCAACTGTTAT